GCACAATGGTTACGAGCTCAGATTTTGACCTGGAGTATCCAGGTTTCGGGTTCGGACCCCATTTCTAACAGGGCCTGGCATAAAATAGGCATTCGCTGCCAAAAAGATTCTAAATATTAAAATATCAAAGGCACAGTTAAAAAAACACATAGAAAAAGAAAGTTTCAATGTGAAGCCAAAGCTTCTGCCTAAAAGCAAAAAAAAAAACCCTTGAAGAGTGACAATGCATACATTTAAAAACATGATATAAAACAGAGAATTTGAAACGAGAACATATACTCAAGACCTTCCTCTTTCTGTCCCCTGCTCTCTTGCAATGTCTGCGTGGGGTATCGTTGACCAGTTTCCTGGCACTGAGCATGCCCGGCCTCACCCACCTCTCTGACTGGCAGTAAGCAGCTGGGGTGGCCTCTCAGAAGAAAGAAATGCCAGTGGGTTTGGCTAAAGCAACTGGCCGAGCAAGCCCTGTGGCTTCTGGTCCCTGCAAAGCCTCGGTCTGGGCATCTCCAGAGCATCTGAAGACACCAGCTGAGCAGAGCGGTCTGCCTTCTGGGGCTTTTGGTCCAGCACCCAGCCCTTATCAGTAGGTCATAGTGGGCTCTCATCTGCCAGCTCCAAACCCAAAAAGAAATGGAGCCAAGCTCTGGCAGGTATTCACCCAGCTGCTGGTCTGCCCAGAAAGGGCAGCGGACCCATGCCATGGCACTTACAAGAAGCCTCTAGAACACTCCCAGAGTGCCAGGCGCTAGGCTAAGAGCATCCCCTGCACCATCTCGTTTAACCCCCAAACCATCACCTTGATAAGCTGGCCTCGTAATTATCTCCATTTTTCAGATCAAGAAACTGAGGCTTGATCCAGCTCATGACCAGCAAACAGCAACACAGACTCCAAGGCCATTCTGCCGGACTCTGAACAATTCTTGTGACCACTTGGAAATGGGTCCAGAGAGGCTGACCTTTGGGGCCTGGATGATACGCCGATTTGGGAGGTCGGGAGATAGTCTCTAACCCTGAACGCTAGGGTACGGCTTCAACCCATGCTTTCTCTCAGGACTCTCCCTACGAGTCACATATTTAATGTCTGAATTGGCCACCAGATTGTCCTCTCCAAGGAGGCATGGGCTGGTGCCTCCTGCGGCTCTGAGTACCCCCATGCCTGGCACACAGGCGCGCTCAACAAACGCATTTCATGCTCTGGCTCAGACCCCATCTCCACTCTGCCCACACAGGGCTCCTTGCATGTGGCCTCTCCTGACATCTTCACCCAAATCTGGGATGGGGAGATGGAGAAGCACCCCGAGCCACACCACAATGACCTTTTTTCCTTGAAATCCCCTTAACCATCGAGAACCTTCCTTTGCTCTCTCTGCCAGAAGTATTGTTTGGGGGGACAGGTGGAAGAGGGGACCTGGCAGGGAATGCTTAAACTAAGTCCAGAGGACAACCCATCCCCTTCATCCCAAAATGCTGACCAGGCTCTGGAAGCTTCCAGAGCCTCACATTTATGCAAGAAAAAGACAAAGTCTGCAGACACGCCAGGACATGCTTGAGAGGATTCTAGGGGGCTAAAGGAGTTGACAGATAGTTGTGACAGCCTGTGACTGTCACCTAAAACGGGAAGTATCCTATAAAGGTTCATGTTGGTCTCTTTGGTATTCAAATCCCACACGGTGTTAAATAAGCCTTCTAAAGCCACAGCAACAAGGTCACATAAACATTTAAAGAAATGGATATGCACACTGATTTTTATAGCAGCGTTATTCACGATAGCTAAAATGTGGAAGCAGCCCAAGTGTCCATCCATGGACGAATGGATACATGCAGTGTGTCCTTCCACACAGTGGAATATTACTTAGCCTTAAAAAAGGAAGGACATTCTGACACCTGATACAACGTGTCACTTGAGGGCATGGTGCTCAGTGAAATAAGCCAGACACAAAGGACAGATCCTATCTGATCCCACTCCTAGGAGGTCCCTAAGGACTGGGGCTGGGGGAGGGGCTGGCAGTTGGTGTTTCATGGGGACTGAGTTTCAATGTGGAAAGATGAGAATGTTCTGGAAATGGAGGGTGGGGAAGGCTGCACACCATGTAGATGTGCTTCATGGCGCTCGGCTGTGCACTTAGAAACAGTTAAAATGGTATATTTTATGTTTTGTGTATTTTACCATAATAAAAGAAATTGAAGGGGGGAATAAAAGCCAGAGCTGGGTTGCACCCAATAGACAGGGATAGACTGGTCCAAAGATCATCACATCTTGACATCTGTCACCAGGACAGGGCAATGCTCCACTCAGGGGACCCCACCACTGAGCACAAACTGGGAGCAGCTGGCACCGATGCCGCATGTCAGGGCCTTGGTCCCCCCCCGGGTGATGGCCACAGCCATGCATGCAGAGCGGCACCTTCCTTTGTGACAAAACCCCCGGTGCTGGAAAAACCAAAAGCTCTTTTGCTTCTCACAAACAAAACAGTAAAAAAAAAAAAAATAAGATAAAAGCCACCTTGAAACATCAGGGGCATTTCTGCAGATAATACCATCCTGGATATTTTGACTAAAATGGATACAGAAATAAATCCACAGAGGAATGACTTAAATCATATCTCAAGACGTGTAAGCCTGGAGCACTTCAAACAGCACTTCCGTTTGCAGAACTCAGTGTTGAAATAAAAGAGAGTTCACTGTTTTCCCTGATGGCCCAGCTAGAAGGACTCACCCATTTCTAAACAGAGGGGACACCACTCACCCTCCAAAAAAAACACACATGCTTTTTTCATGTCTCAGATGTGGCACAAACCCCAGCTGTCTTTTACTAGCTGTGTGGCCTTAGGCAAGTTAAAGTACCTCCCTGGTCCCTCAGGTGAGGATAACGGCGCTCCCCTGGCAGGTGTGTGTCCTCGTAACATGGCAGATGCTACACACCCTCTCTTCCCCTCGGCAGTCATGAATGCCCACCTTCCCGTCTCCAGATTCATTTAGATTGTCTCTCCCAGGTTATTCATCCACACCCACCCCCTCCCCACACCCACCTCAGAAGTTTCCCTGTTCTTCTCCAAAATGCCAAACCGCCAAATGCACAGGACGTCTCTCTACTGCTGCTAAGACTGTGCCCGGCTTTGGCCCTCTTGCTCAATTCAGTGGACTTCAGCTTCTCTCTGTCCCTGACCTGCCAAGGTTCTCAAGACTTTTTCACAACATAATAATCATCGTCCCCTCTCCCAGCCACAAACAACCAGGGTCACTTGCCCTTCACCATCCAACCTCTCAGAAGAGGTACGGTCTCCATTCTCTCAACCCTCCCACCTTCTGCTGCCTCCCACCCAGCATCTTTGCCATGAAGGGCTCTGACACAGTCCTTATTGACAATTCCATAGATTCCACTCAGGACTCACCTGTGTGGCTTCCCAGTAGCTTGGGGCTCAGGTGAGAAGACCCTCCTTTCTGCCTTGCCCTATCTTTTGCGATACCATCCTGAAGCCATTCACTCACTTTCTCCCACCTCGAGCTCACATTCACTAAATCTTCCCAGGGAATTTCACAATGTATGAAAGAGCCAATGAAACAATAAACAGGCGATGCGTGCGCATGGGGCGGCGGCAGAAGGGGGGACTTCCCTGGATATCAAGATGTTGTAAAACTTACAGTGAGTAGAACATTAACCGCCCAGTGCGAGGAAAGACAGATGTTTTTACAGATACCAGGAAACAGACCCTAAATCAATGACAAAGGGATGCATTTCTGCAATAACTGGCACTGAGATCCCAACTAGTTATTTGGGAGGAAATAGACACCCTTCCGAATCATGCACACAAATAGATTCCAAATGTCCAGGATGAATTTTTTTTTTTCAGTGATAAGAATTAACATGAAAATAGGAAATTTTGGAAAAATGCATGCATGTTATGTGTAGAAAGGGACTGCGGAAGCATAAAGGAACAGGGGAGGCCTGCAAAACTCCAGCTTGGAACTCCATAAACATTTTAAGCTTCTCCTGCAACTTTTTCCCCACTGAACACAAACATCTGAAAACACTATTGGCAAAGGGTCAATAGCCTTCATCTATGAAAAACGCATGCAGATTAATATTTCAAAAACCACTAAGGTACTAAAAGATAAATGGACAGAGGATATGAACAGGAAGAGAAAGCCCAGATGATAAATAAACATGTTTTAAAAGGCTCAACCCCGATAGCAATCAAAGAAATGCAAATAGAAACAATGACACACACCGGCTCCTCCCTCCAGTAAATTATGAAAGATCTTTCAAATGACACTCCTAGCTGGCCAAGGTGCTCCCTCCCGGCCAATGCCAGGAGGAGAGCCATGGGCACATTTCCGGAAAGCCATTTGGCAACTGGTATAAAGGACCTTTGACCCAGAAATTTCACTTCTGGCAAAGTAAGACCTGAAGAAACAAATGCTCAATAAAGGTTTGCCCCAAAAATGTTCATCCCTCTCTTTATGAAAACTGGAAATAATCTAAATGCCCAAAGACAGGGAACATTAAGTAAATTAAGATACAACAGAAACCACTAGAAGAAAGTACCCTCAATAATCGTGGAATAAGAATTACTATTTAGCTCTTTTTTCCTTTACGCATTTCTTTTTCCTAACGTCTGCCATCAGCAATCTTCTGCCCATAATCAAATAAGAAATAAACTTGTTTTTCCTACAACTAAACCCATACTCATCCACTCCTACTGTTCTTCCAAGCAAGAGGCACATGCAACCATCTAGCACAGGAGTTGGCAAAATCCGGCCCACCACTTGGCTTTGTAAATAAAGTTTTATCAAAACAGCCACAGCCACTTGTTTCCTGACTCTTGTGGCTGCTTTCCTGCTACACGGGGCAGCAGTGAGTTGTTGCCACGGAGACCATACAGCCTGCAAAGTCTCAAGTATTTGAGACTGCCATCCCCTGGTCGAGCAAGTGCCTCCAAGCTTCCCTCTAATGAACAAGGCAGGAGAAACCGCTTAGAACCCTGTGAAACCCAGCTTACCTTTCTGGCAGTGGCTGTGTGTCCAACACCGTTCGACAAATTGCCCATTGATGACAGTGGCAGGGCAGTTGGTCTTGCCCTTTGCAGTGCCAGGGCAAATGTCCCCACACTCCTCGTTGTCGTCTTTGTTCAGCACAATGTAATTATCCTCCACGGAATCCAGGATGCGTGACCAGTCAATGGTGGCCAGGTAGCAGAGCTCATTATTCTTCTCGATGCGGACGGAGCCCCGGGTGATGTTCATCAGGTTGTAGAGGCCAAGCTCCTTCAGATGAACCATCTCGAAGATGACCAATGCGTAGTTGAAGAAGAGGCGTGAGCCCCGGATGACCGTGAGGTTAGGGAATAGGTCCTTCAAGCTCTCCAGCCCATAGACTCGGAAGAGCAGCAGGTAATCGGTGATCATGATGAGTTTGGGGAAACTGAGGTCTCGGAAATCCTCAGGCCTCGTTTTGAACATCAACAGTATCTGGAGATGCCCTTCGATGACCGAGCAGTTGGCCAGCTCATGCAGCCTCGTGAGGTTGTTCCGGATATCCATGCCGGGACACACTAGAAGTGGAAACAAGCGGAAAGTAAGGCAGGTGAGCAAATACACACGCCGTGGACGGGTTCTAAGAATCAGCAGCAGGGCCAGCTTCACGGGCATGCAGCCCGAGTGCCACGCTCGCCCAGAAGGGCCCTGCCCTTGGCATTAAGAGCATTAAGCTCTTCCATCTGTCTTGAGATCTTCAGACAGTTTGGGTAAGGGGTGCTGCATTTTCATCCTGCACTGGGCCCCTGCAAATTCCACAGACCGCCCCGACTAGTGGCTTTCTCTGCAAAGTGTCTGCACCTACGAAACTACTTTCAAAGAAAAATCATTCCTTTGGCCATATAGGGAGAAGCCTTAGGATCATCACATCCAGGAGGACGCCTTGGAAGTACTGGGATGACAGGGGATAGGGTAATGTGGCGTGTTTACTTGGGGAAAGGAGAGCCATCCCCCATGAGTCAGTGTTGAAGATCTTCAGGAAATGGATATATGGGGATAAAGGTGCCCACATTAGAAATGGGGCAACGAGAGCTGAATCCGTTCTGCCTGCACCCACCTCATGGACTTCCCTTCCCAACCAACCTGCCTTCCTTCCAGGCAGGCAGCCAAGACCGAATTACCTTTTACCCAGATATGCCAAGAGCTTCTCAGCCAGTCGGATCGCCCCTGCACACTGTGCGCGCCTGCTCCCCTGAAGGTGGTCCCTCCCCAGCTCCGACACCCTCCATGGCTCTCCATGACCCGGCACTTCCCCACCCCTCCTGCCCGTGCTCCATACTACACAGGCGTTCCCACCACTCTTGCACAACTCCTAGGCTCTGTGTCCTCCCCAGTCACACGCTCGATGAGGAGTGACTGGAATCAGGTAGGTACTCAAGCACGCAGTAGGCGCTGAATTCATGTCAGCTATTTTGTTCTTGTTTATTTCTCCCAAACATACCACAATCATGTCCAGGCTCTGTGCCTTCTCCTTGTGCCCCTCACGCTCAAGTTAACATTCATCAGAATCAAACTCTAGCCTAGACAGCTTCTCCTGGCCACAGCCATGCACCCCCCACAGCCTTCAGCACCTGGACTGTAAGGATCAGCCCACAACTCCCATTACTTGATTCCAAGACACAACATTCCCCCAATATCTTTGAGGCAAACAGACTGTTCTAAAGAACGGTAGTAAATCCTCTTAAAAAGCCACCCGACAACAACTCGCAAAGGCTGCACAGATTAGCTAGAAAACGGCAAGGCAAAAAATTGGGGAAAACAAAAGCCACAAGGTTCCTAGGTCACATTCCGTACAGATTAGGCTAAATCAAGGGAAAACACACACGCACTCATGCACTCACTAGGATGCTGAGAGGCGTGCGAGGAGGACAAGGACAGGCGACACAGCCCCACACGCTCATGACCCCCACACCCAGTCTAAGGCTCCCAGCTGCTGCCAGATGCACAGCATCTAGGTCCAGTGATGACCACAGGGCTCCACCATCGGGCCTCCCAGCAAGCCCCACCCACTCCAGAGGAGAGAAAACTGGACCTCCAAGAGACCACACTGGTCACCCAAGGGCACGTGGCCCACCAGTGACACGCAGGCTTGCTAGATTTGGCAAACAGAAATGCAATCTGAATTTCAGGAAGGCAACAAGTACTTCTTCAGGACATCTACATCCCACCACTGTTTGGGGCATGCTTATCCTTAAGAATGTTCCGTTGTTCACATGAAAGTCAAGTTTAACTGTGTGTCCTGTCTTTTTATCTGGCAACATATGGCTCAGATTCAACCACAACTCTGGGCTTCTCAAGCCTCAGCCTCACGCTCTGTATTTTGTGCGCATGCACACACAAAACTGGTGCAGGTGTGAAGAATACTTGCCCTCCATCCTCTCCAGGCTGTGGAGGGACCAAAATCAGATAGAAATGTGCATTCAAAGATTGACCCGCTGCTGGACATGAGGGAAATGCAAATCTACCCATAGTGAGATACCATTTCACTCCAACCAGGATGACTAAATCAAAAAGATGGACAATTACAAGTGTTGACGAGGACGCAGGGGCGATGCAGGAATGTAAAATGGTAAGGCCACTGTGGAAAACAGTCTGGCAGTTCCTCAAAAGGTTAAGCCAACAGTTACCATATGATCTAGCAATTCCACTCCTAGGTAGAAAACAAGAGAAATGAATACATATGTCTACAGAGAAACTTGTATACAAACGCCCACAGCAGCATGATTCATAACATCCAAAAAGCAGAAACAAACCAAATGGCCATCAGCTGATGAGTGGACAAACCAAATGTGGTAAATCCACCCAATGGAATATTATTCTGTCACAAAAGGAGTAAAGCATGGATACACACTACAATGTGGATGGACCTTGAAAACATGAGGCTAAGTGAAAGAAGCCAGTCACGAAAGACCACATATTGCTATGATTCCATTTGCATGACATGCCCCAAATAGGGATATCTATAAAACAGGAAATGAATTAGTGGCTCCAAAGTGTGGGGAGGAAAAAAAGTGTAACAGCTAAAAGGTATAACGTTTCTTTTCTGGGGAGACAAAAATGTTCTAAAATCGACTGTCATGATGGTTGCACAATTCTGGGAATACATATACTAACAACCAGAGAATTGTAGACTTTAAATGGGTGAATTGTATGACAGTGAATTCGATCTCAATAAAGTTGCTATGAGAAAATGAATTGACTATAATACTAGAGGACAATAAATATTTGCTTTTTTAAAACATCGCCAATGAATCTAATTCAACTCATTAAAGCCGTATGTGACCCTCATAGGGTAAGACAATAGAGCAGTTTACTGCTAAGACAGAAAACACCCAGAGGATGTTAGAAATGGTGCCAAAAATAGATGTAGGGCGTTCTGCGGACTTTCAATACTTCTGGGTGGGAATCCAAGGATGCTTCAAGTTCTTAGCATGTGGCCCTTGGCTAATCGCTCTATGCGCAGGTAGAGAAACTGGTGACACAGTTAATACAGCCACCCCCACCTTACCGTGGTTTTGCTTTCCTTGGCTTCAGTTACCCAGGGTCAACGGCAGCCCGAAAATATTACATGGAAAATTCCAGAAAGAAACAATTCATAGGTTTTAAATTGCACGGTGTTCTGAGTAGCATGACACCATCTCAGGCTCTCTACTCCAACCCCCCAGGATGTGAATCGTTCCCTAGTTCAGTGCACCCCTGCTACCTGCCCGCTGGTCCCATATCATAGGTGTGTATGTGTAGGACAAAAGAGAGCATATATAGGGTTTGGTACTATCGGCAGTTTCAGGCACCTACTGGAGGTTCTGAAACGCATCTGCCATGTGTAAGGCATTTTCTAAGCACTTATGATGAAAGCACTCGACCCACAATTAGCACATACATCCTCTGCTGAATTCTAAAAACAATCCCCAAAGCAGAGACTATTTTCAGACCCATTTTGGGGATGAGCAAATCAAGATGCACACAAGCTGCTTTAAGCGGTGGCACTGGGCTTGCAGCTCTGCCATCAAATGCAAAGTCTACACCATAGGCACGTTACTGTTTCATTGGCTTCGTTTTTTCAAAAACAGGCCTAATGAAGAAGCCGGTGGATGTGATTTAAATAAAGAAACAAATACATCGTTTTCATGCAGGGATAACCTGAGGGAAGCTTGTTCATTTCCTTCATTCACTTCTGCAAAATCTGCTGAGGCCCTGGTCCACGCTGGATGTTGTTCCAAGCGTTGGAAGGGCTGTGGGGAAGTCACAGGTGCTGCCCTGGATCACAGACTACCATGTCAACTGAAAATATATCCAAGGAGGATGCCCTTAAGGAGAATTTCAGGATCTAGAAGAAATCATAGAAACAAGCTATTTGACTCGGTCTGGGACAATCAAGGAGGGCTTCTTGGAGGAGGTGATGCCAGGTCTAAAAGCTACACAAATGGTGCAGTAAGAATTGTCCAGTCCTGCCTACTTCACGGGAAGGTCAAGGACGATGGCAAAATACAGCTCATCTCTGTGGGTGACCTGGGTGTACAGGGACTAGAACAGTGTTATCCAATAGAAACAGCATGAGAGCCACATAGGGCATTTTAAATTTTCTCTAAAAAGGTAAAAAGAAACAGATGAAATTAAACATATTTTATTTAAACCAGTGTATTCAAAAATTTCACTTCCACATGTAAGTACTGAAAAATTATTAATAAAATACTGTACAGGATTTTTTTCACACTGCACCTCCAAAACACCATGTGTTTTACACATGCACCATGCTTCAATTCAGAGGCTAAATTCTCCTCAGAAATACCCATCCTGTGTATGTAGATTTCATTAAAAAACAGTACAGTTGAAAAAGGCAGGTTCATATCCCCAGGGTGTTTCAAGGATACTAAAGAGTTTTCCAACAACAGAATTAAATACTGATTTTTTTTTTTACATTTAAGTAAAACATTGTATTTGCATTTAAATGAATTAAAGTTAAATAAAAGTAAATATTCAGTGGTGCTGACCACAATTTCAAGAGCCCATGTGGACAGTGGCTACCATACTGGGCAGAGCAGATATAGAACACTTCCATCAAAGCAGAATATTGTGTTGGGCAGTGTGGTCTAGAATTTCCTCCTTGGCCAGAGGAATCTGAGAATTTTCCAGAAGGAGATAAGACTGACCAGAAAGCCACCTTGGACAGTGTCTCCACCCCCTGGTTTTCTCTCCAGCATGGCAACACCAAAAGAGAAGTATGCAGGGCCAGAGAAGACACGGAGAAGCTCCTGCACATCCTTTCCAAGCCAGTTTGATGATACCTTCTGCCTTCACTCATGAATGTCTTCATTCCTCGGTCTCTGCATTCTTCAAACGCTCCCTGGTGACCTATTCTGGGGCCACATGTTCCTCTCCACCTTCTTTCCTGTTTTAACGCCACTTCCTCTGAAATGCAGGGGTCCTGTACCAAAAGTCTTGGGTTCAAGGTGTTAGGCCACCACCCACACCGGCTTCAGGGCACACTATACACCCAACAGAGCTGGCTTCCTTCCCA